AGTTGGATCAGAAGTGAAGCAGCTGGGACACGAACCAGAACTCATATGGGATACCAGTGTCACAAGAGGCAGCATTACTATGCCTCAACACTGGACCCCTAAATGTTTACCATGGCTGGGAAAGCCATTCCAACACTGCGGACTCTCATTCGGGCCTTTTCCACATTCCATACTCAGCTGCCCTATTTCTCAAACTATGCCAACTAATACCTTTGTTGCCTTCTCTAGCTGGTATAACATCTCCTTACTGTGGTCTCCCCAAGCAGGAGGTGGTGTAACAGCCAGTACTTCTAGTAGATCTTAAGATTTCTTACTAATTTTGGAAGGTTTTGGGCTACACTGTTGGTTCCCTGAGGTCAGGGACCATGTTTATTTTGGGCACTAGATATACAGCTCTTCTCCTAAACAACACTATGGCATAAATATCAAACATTTTTTTTGGACACGCAGAGTTAGACAGTGAGTGAGTGAGAGAGAGAGAGGGAGGGAGAGAGAGAGAGTATTCCTTCTGTTGGTTCACCCCCCAAATGGCCACTACAGCTGGCGCTGCGCCAATCTGAAGCCAGGAGCCAGGTGCTTCCTCCTGGTCTCCCATGCAGGTGCAGGGCCCAAGGACTTGGGCCATCCTCCACTGCCTTCCCGGACCACAGCAGAGAGCTGGACAGAAGAGGAGCAACTGGGACAGAATCCAGCGCCCCAACCGGGACTAGAACCCGGGGTGCTGGCGCCACAGGTGGAGAATTAGCCAAGTGAGCTATGGAGCCGGCCTAAATAATCAAACTTAAAAAAAAATTTTTTTTAACAGAAGATTGGGACAGGCATTTGATATAACAGTTATTTGATGTAAAAGATATGGCTTGTAATATGCCTAATGTACACACTGGGAGGCAGCAGGTGATGGCTAAAGTACTTGGGTCCCTGCCACCTATGTGAAACCAGACTGAGGTCCTGGCTGCTCATTTTGGCCTGGACCAGCCTTAGCTGTTCTGGGCATTTGGAGTGAACCAGTGGATGTGAAATCTGAATGGTTGTTTTTCAAACACATAAAATGAATAAATATAAATTAAAACAGCCTGAACATTTTCCATTTAAACATTATTTTTTGGGGTCACTGCCTGCAGTACTGGCATCCCATATAGGGGCTGGTTCGAGTCCCGTCTGCTCCACTTCCGCTCCAGCTATCTGCTATCTCTAAAGCAGTAGAGGATGGCCCAAGTCCTTGAGCCACTGCACCTAAGTGGGAAATCTGGAAGAAGCTCCTGGCTCCTGATCGACCTAGCTCTAGCTGTTGCGGCCGTTTGGGGAGTGAACCAGCAGATGGACAACTTCTTTGCCTCTGCCTCTCTGTAACTCTTTCATATAAATAAATAAATCTTTGAAAAAAAAAATCTGAAGTGAAATGTTGTCCTCCAGCATTTTTTTTTTTTAAGATTTATTTTATTTACTTGACAGGCAGAGTTACAGAGAGAGGTAGAGACAGAGAGAGAGGTCTTCCATCTGCTGGTTCACTCCCCAGATGGCAGCAATAGCCAGAGCTGTGCTGATCCGAAGCCAGGAGCCAGAAGCTTCTCTCCGGTCTCCCATGCCAGTGCAGTGTTGCAAGGACTTGGGCCATCTTCCACTGCTATCCCAGGCCATAGCAGAGAGCTGGGTTGGAAGAAGAGCAGCCAGGACTAGAGCCGGCACCCATATGGGATGGGTTAACCCACTGTGCCACAGCTGCTGGCCCCATCCAGCAAGGTTTTAAGAGAAAGATAGGGGCTTGTTTTGTGGTGCAGGGGGTTAAACTGTAGCTTGTGACATCATCACCCCATATTAGAATGCTGGTTTGGCCGGCGCCGCGGCTCACTAGGCTAATCCTCCGCCTAGCGGCGCCGGCACACCGGGTTCTAGTCCCGGTTGGGGCGCCGGATTCTGTCCCAGTTGCCCCTCTTCCAGGCCAGCCCTCTGCTGTGGCCGGGGAGTGCAGTGGAGGATGGCCCAGGTGCTTGGGCCCTGCACCCCATGGGAGACCAGGAAAAGCACCTGGCTCCTGGCTCCTGCCATCGGATCAGCGCGGTGCGCCGGCCGCAGCGCGCCGGCCGCGGCGGCCATTGGAGGGTGAACCAACGGCAAAGGAAGACCTTTCTCTCTGTCTCTCTCTTTCACTGTCCACTCTGCCTGTCAAAAAAAATAAAAAGAATGCTGGTTTGAGTTCTGGCTGCCTCACTTCCAATCCAAGCCAGTTTTTTCCAATGCACCTGGGACTGCAGAAGATGACCCAGATATTTGCGTGTTACACATGTGGGAGACCGAATGGAGTCCTGGTTGTTGTGGATAGCTGGAGAGTGAACCAGCTGATGTAACTTCTCTGTTGTTCTGCCTTTCAAAAAGATACATTTTTTTTAAGAAATACATTTAAATAACTTCAATTTTAAAATTAAAATAAAAAAATTAGTTGCTAGGTTTTACTAGTCACATTTCCTGTGTTCAGTAGCCTCACAGCTATGTTGGACAGCATAGACGTAGGCTATCTTCTGTAATCAAAGATTTCCCTCTGCCTCTTGTTAAGGTCTATTATGACTTTAACTCTAGGTCGCTCTGTTGTAACCAAAGGCTGAGTTGACTAATAGAGTGACTTACCTGTTTTGGGTTATACCATATTTAAAAGGACTAAACTCATTTCCTAGACCCCATTCTGTACCTAGTTTTTTAGCTTTGGAACATTTTTGAAATGTCATACATGTATACAGATAGTGATGCAAAAAAAGACATGATGTAATCTAGGGGAAATCACGACTTGAAATTTGCCTAAACACATCTTACCTTTAAAGAATGTTTGGGGGGCTGGCGCTGTGGCATAGGTTAAGCCCCTGCCTCTGGTGCCAGCATCCCATATGGGTGCTGGTCCATGTCCTAGCTGCTTCTCTTCTGATCCAGCTCTCTGCTTATATCCTGGGAAAGCAGTGGAAGATGGCCCAAGTGCTTGGCCCCTGCACCTGTGTGGGAGACCTGGAAGCAGCTCCTGGCTCCTGGCTTTGGATTGGCTCAGCTCTGGCTGTTGCAGCCATTTGGGGAGTGAACCAGCGGACGGAAGACCTCTGTGTCTCTCCCTCTAACTCTACCTCTCAAATAAATCTTTAAAAAAATGTTTGGAAGATTAAAACATCAAAACTGTAAACGCTTGAGATTGTAAACACACACATATTATGGATTAAGCTTAAGGAATATATAAAGTAAATGGCTACTTTACTAGTGTCGAAAAAACATCAGAACAATTTATAAGAATGACTGATATTATCACCAGCACAATAAAAATAAGGAAAATATCTTCCTTGAAAGATATGAATTTGTGTGTATAATTTGAAAAAATTCTCCCTGCCCGAACCCCTCTCAAAGTCACTGGGAAATTACTAGACCTTGTGATGCCTGTTTAAAAGTGAAGGTATGGGGGGCCAGCACCGCGGCTCAATAGGTTAATCCTCCGCCTGTGGCGCCGGCACTCCGGGTTCTAGTCCTGGTCAGGGCGCCAGATTCTGTCCTGGTTGCTCCTCTTCCTGTCCAGCTCTCTGCTGTGGCCCAGGAATGCAGAGGAGGATGGCCCAAGTCCTTGGGTCCTGCACCCGCATGAGACCAGGAGAAGAACCTGGTTTCTGGCTTCGGATCAGCATGGTGCGCCGGCCGCATCGCCCATTGGGGGGTGAACCAAGGGAAAAGGAAGACCTTTCTCTCTGTCTCTCTCTCTCTCACTGTCCACTCTGTCAAACTAAACTAAACTAAACTAAACTAAACTAAACTAAACTAAACTAAACTAAAAAATAAAGTGAAGGTATGGGGGGTTGGTGCTGTGGTACAGCGGGTTGGCGTCCTGGCCTGAAGCACCGGCATCTCATATGGGTGCTGGTTTGAGACCCAGCTGCTTCACTTCCGATCCAGCTCTCTGCTATGGTCTGGGAAAGCAGTAGAAGATGGCCCAAGTCCTTGGGGCCCTGCACCTGCATGGGAGACCCGGAGGAAGCTCCTGGCTCCTGGCTTCGGGTTGGCACAGCTCCAGCCATTGCGGCCAACTGGGAAGTGAACCATCAGATGGAGGACCTCTCTCTCTCTGCCTCTCCTTCTCTCTCTGTGTAATTCTGACTTTAAAATAAAATAAATAAATCTTTAAAAAAAAGTGAAAGTGAAGGTGTGGGGTAGATCCCTGGTGCAGCAGTGAAGACCTGTTGGGATGCTCATGTCCCATATCAGAGTGCCTGGGTTTGAGTCTCAGATCTGCTCCTGATGCCAGTTTCCTGCCCATGTGTACCCTGGGAGGCAGATGATACCTCTGATAATTAGGTTTCTGCCATGCACATGGATTGAGTTCCTGGCTCCTGGGTTTCCCCCTGTGCTGTGTGCTGGCTATATGAGCATTTGGGGAGTGAGCCAGCAGATGAAGAGCTGTTTCAAATAAAATGAAAATAAAACTTTAAAATTTAAAGTAAAGGTATTTGGAATGAACAGAAATGACCACTAGATGCCACTGTTGTTGCTTTTCTAGAAACAAACAAAGAAATATAGTTCGTTTATTTATTTACTTGAGAACCAGAGCCAGACAGAGCCAGAGTTCTCATCTGCTGATTCACTCTCCCAAATGCCCAGAATAGTGCTCTAGCCAGCTGGGGCTAAAGCCAGGAGCTGGGATTTCAATCCAGGTCTCCCAAATGGGTGGCAAGAACCCAATTATCTGAGCCATCACCACCAGTACACACACACACACACACACACACACACCCCGCTCTACAACAGCAGGAAGCTACAAACAAGAGCCAGAGCACAGAGTTGAACCCAGGCACTCCAATATGGGCTGTAGGTATCGTAACCACTAGGACAAAGGCCCACCACTGCTTTTTTTTTTTTTTTTTTTTAAATAAGGTAAAAAAACAAATCACACAGAAGTTCAGAAGCAACAAATTAACTTCCATCTCATAACTGACATTAGAACAGAAATTGTCGGATTATATCAATAAAGAGCCAAGACAATGTTTTCACTACACGGAAGTTTATTGTGAAAGTAAATTAGAACATACAAACACACAGTATGGCTAATGGTGGCAAAAGCAATCTGGTAGCTTAAGGCAAGTTTTTAATGGAGATGAATTTAGAAAAGATGATGCAATGGTGTAATTTTGTTTAAATATAGATTATGAAAAAATATCAAATTGCATCAATAACTTAATAAAGTAGTTTCCAAAGCCTGCAGTATTGGGAGAAAAAGGGCTCATGATCTTAATGCCAGCATTAAGACAGACAGAAGCAGCACAGCACTACTAAATGACAGGAAAAATTCTGTATTTACAGAAGGATGGCAACAAGAACATTTAATAACATTTGATCGTATTTACTGGTGGACTAAAAGTCCTTGGCTAGAAGCAACAGAGAAAAATGTATCATCATGTTATTTAAAAAAATTAAGTGCAGAAGTCAAAAACCAAGGAGCTTTGTGATAAAGTAACCTTAAAACACCACTGTAAGGATCACTTAAAAAGGCGATTCCCTCAGGGGAAGTTAGGGCACTGAGTGTGTAAACATGTGAGCTGAACAACACCAAATACCAACCAAATTCATTCATAGTACTTACACAAAACCAGCATGGTCTTTTATGATGCATTATTGTTTATAACAATTTAAACACTCGTTACCATGCATGACTTCAAATATAAAACAAATATCTTTATTCTGAGATACAGGATATCTGTTAATGAATTATTAAGTACTATATACAATGAAAGCCACACCTCCCTCATTAATCAAGTATATTTATATGCTTCTTAAATGCAATGAATGACCTTACTCAGACTTCAGTTCATTTTCTGAATTCACTGTGTCAGCTTTTCACTCTTTAAAATAATGCCATTCTATTATGATAAAATACATTTTTGAAAAACTTCAGAAATGTAGTAACATTTAATGAATGTGACAAAGAAAAGTATTTGTAAGGAGGTACCAAATGACTTAGCACTTTTTTCCAGTCTTGCTTTTAAAATAAAAGTTGCACTCAATTTGACAGTGAGCCTATTTAAAAAATATTCTTAGACTAATTCATCTCAAAAGGTACTATTAATAGTCCTTTTGCAAAATACCATACATATAACTGAATGCTTTTTCCAGAATAATTATTGGAAGAAAATGTATCTTCTGCACAGATGAACATTTTCTCTCTAAGACTAATCTCTTATCACCCAGCATTGTTTTTACAAAAGCATGCAATATAAAATACACATAAAAGCAGCTATCTTAAACATTATTTTAATACAATATTACCTTTGTAGCTGATTCATCACTGTCTCCAGTTTAATATGCTGTTACATACATGAAGAAGCTCCAGTATCCCTTTTCTGATTGACTTTTTAAAAAAATCCCTGAATAAAACAGAAGTCAGCTGGTGACCTCTTTAGGCATTTCAGTAGGATATTATCATCTATAGAGAGTACCTCCATCCAAACTCATGAATACAGAACAGAATCTAAAACAGATCCAGGGCAGATTAGAGAGTAAAAACCAATTTAAAATTTTTTATGTTTAAAAAGGAAAAGAAACGGTGCTAATCATTAGCATTTAAAAGGATACTGCAACTTTAACCACTGTAAACTTCGTGTTAGAAGGCTGTGGCAGACAGCTCTATGCTACTAGGTTTTTAGCTTGTAAATAATGCAAACATATCAGCAGTTTAAAAATGCTATAGACTATAAAGTACAAAAGGAAATGGGAAAAACAAAATAAAAACCCCCAACAATGCCTATCTAAATGAAGCTGTATAACAAACACACCTAAAAGTACAAAAAAAAAAAAAAAAAAAAAAAAAAAAAAAAAAATTAGAGCAACTGATTAGGGAAGAAACCCCTCTGACATAACTTTTACTTTCTCGACTTGTTCTTAAATGACATAAACTTTTAAATTAAATGCAGGAAAACAGAGCTTCACAAATGTTCAGTTTCAATTCACTAAAGTAATGCCAACAAGATAAGCTTGCATAGAAAAAAATATCAAATTATTACTGGCTACATGCTTAAAAAACTAGAAATGCAGTTTTAATCATAGTGCAAAACCATGGCAGTTTGTGATGTCTGTTACTGCCTAAGGTTGAGAAACAGACCGTAGTACCTCCAGTTATCACAGTTTCTGGTCTTTTGATCAATTATTTCTACCAACTAGAAGCAATGTGTATGTAAAGATGGGCAGCATGTCCACCGTGCTACCATTAACGAAGTTTAAGGTCATCACCACCACCTAAATTGGAACCAGGACTAGGGTCTTGTTGTCTTCTTGCCTGCAATGACAAAATCGTAATTTGGGATCAGAAAGTGTCTTGAAAATCAAAACACTAAATATACATAAAACACGAAACACAGAGCAGCACACAAGAAAAGTTCACACTAAAATCATTTCCACCAGTATATCTGCATGTAACAGGCAACAGAAAATTAAAGTATGACATATTTTGCTAAAGTTTCCTTAAAAATAAAAAAATTATTTTATACTTAAAACAGCATTATCATCAATATTTACTATGTAAAGAACTAAAAAGTTACATTTGCAGTTTTAGAACTAGAGAATTTAATACATTAGTTTATCACCTTAGGAGCAGCTTTTTGTAACAGTAAACTTAAAAAAAATCTTTTTAATGTATTTGAAATGCAGAGAAAAATAGAATGTGGGAAAAAAACCACATACACACAGAGAGAAAGAAAGACTGATCTTCTATCCTCTGGCTAACTTCCAATTTGTTCCAATAGCTGAGGCTAGGACAGGCTGAGTTGGGAGCGAGGAACTTGACCTAGGTCTTTTGGCATCATATGGGTGGCACCAACCCAAGCACTTGAGCCAGTTGTCTTCCAGGTGTGCACTGGCAGGCAGCTGGGATTCAAAGTGGAGTTGGGATTCAAATCTAGACACTGATACAGGATGTGGTATCCCAAGTGACATCTTTACTGGGTACCAACAAGATGCTATTCTTCGCACTTTCCATGAAAGAATTTATTTCATACCTTCCAACATGCCAAGTCATAGATGCCATTTTTTATCACTATTTCACAAATAAGAGAAATACATAGTCTACTAACTACATGACTGAAAAATACAGTAATGAATTCCATCTCTGCCAATTGTGTTCTAACTAGAAGTCTCTAACTCAAGAAATAAAATCAAGAATTACCATGGATAAATATTGTCTCATAAGTAAAAGCAGAAACACAGAACTTATGTATTTATAATATCCAGAAATATCTTTATAACAGTTAAGAGGTTTGACAATCTTGAACACTAAAGAATAAATATTCCTATTTAAACTATCTATGGTAAGTTAATTAATAGGGAACACCTACCAACTACATGTCATGCATGATACTTTGTGAATAGTTTTTTTAATAACAGTGCCCCCTTTTTTATAGAAAGCTTTTATTTAATAAATATAAATTTCAAAAGTACAACTTTTGGATTATAGCGGTTCTTTCCCCCATATCCACCCTCCCACCCCCAAACTATCCCACCTCCTACTCCCTCTCCCATCCCATTCTTCATTAAGACTCATTTTTAATTATCTTTATATATAGAAGATCAACTCTATACTAAGTAAAGATTTTAACAGTTTTCACCCACACAGACATACAAAGTATAAAGTACTGTTTGAAGACTAGTTTCACCATTAATTCTCATAGTACACACATTAAGAACAGAGGTCCTACATGGGGAGCAAGTATGCAGTGACTCCTGTTGTTGATTTAACTGACACTCTTATTTATGTTGTCAGTGACACCCGAGGCTCTTGTCATGAGCTGCCAAGGCTATGGAAGCCTCTTGAGTTCACAAACTCTGACCTTATTTAGACAGGGCCAACAGTGCCCCTCTGGCTCAGGTACATCCTCCTTATGTCTCTTTACAAATTTTAGTGTGTTTTTTCTGTAAGTTTTCTTTGGTGTCTCCAAATGCTGAAGCATAAACATCTGTTTGCACCCAGAACATAGCTCCTCCAGCAACAGCTTTCCTATGTTAGACAATGATAATTTCATTTAACCAGTTATTTAGGTAAAAAGCCTTGAAGTCACCCTTTTAACATCTCTTTCTTCCACACCCAACAGCAAAGCAAATTGTAATGGCAGCCATTTAGGGAGTAATCAGTGGATGAGATTCTCTCTCTCTCTCTCTCCAACTCTGCCTTTCAAATAAATAGATTTTTTTTAAAAAAGATCCGAGGATGGGGTCGGTGCTGTGGTGTAGTGAGTAAAGCTGCCACCTGCAGTGCCAGCATCCCATGTGGGCATCAGTTCAAGTCCTGGCTGCTCCACTTCCGATCCACCTCTCTGCTATGGCCTGGGAAAGCAGCATAAGATGGCCCAAGTCCTTGGGCCCCTGCACTCATGTAGGAGACCTGGAAGAAGCTCCTGGCACCTGGCTTCGGATTGGCACAGCTCTGGCCGTTGCGGCCAACTGGGGAGTGATCCAGCGGATGGAAGACCTCTCTCTGCCTCTCCTTCTTTCTCTGTATATCTCTGCCTTTCAAATAAATAAATAAATAATTTTTTTTTTTTTTTTTTTTTTTTTGACAGGCAGAGTTAGAGAGAGAGAGACAGAGAAAGGTCTTCCTTCCATTGGTTCACCCCACAAGTAGGCTGCTACGGCCAGTGCGCTGCACCGATCTGAAGCCAGGAGCCAGGTGCTTCCTCCTAGTCTCCCATGTGGGTGCAGGGCCCAAGCACTTGGGCCATCCTCCACGGCCTTCCCGGGCCACAGCAGAGAGCTGGACTGGAAGAGGAGCAACTGGGACAGAATCCAGCACCCCAACCAGGACTAGAACCACGGTGCCGGTGTCGCAGGCGGAGAATGAACCTAGTGAGCCACAGCGCTGGCCTAAATAAATAAATCTTAAAAAAAAAAAATCTAAAGAAATTATTAGAGAAAGAGCATCCTTGACCTTCAAAAAACCCCTCAAGTTCTATGAAAGAAAGTTTGCCCAAAAGCTTCAACCTCGTCACCACTTCGTAAGTCAGTTGTATTAAACAAAAATGGTAGCTGCCTTACTTACTTTCAAACAAAATCCAACAATCTTTTTTATAAATTTTTAAGATATTTCTTTAGCAGAGTTTTTAAGTATTTGTGTTAGCAGGCAACACTCTGACTGCATTTTAGCATATTCCTTTACATTCAATAGTCAGGTTAAAGTTATGCTGCATGTCACAGACTGTAAGAGCTATGGAATGCATATACATCAGAAAGATAATTTATGTCTCACATACAATCAATGCTAAGTGTAGTGTAAGAACAGATCAATTCTGTAGAATCAGAGATAGGAATAAAAGCATCTGGTTTCAGTCAAGGAAGGTTAGAAAGGGGCTGAGCAATGAAGAAACCCTGAGAAAAATCAATCTTAATTATTTATTTATGAATCACTACTAACATACCAATAATACTTTGTGAAAAGAACATTTTGGTTTTCTTGGGAGAAGAGTACTTTTTAGGTTATCTTAAGAGCAATGGGACAAACAGGTGACAAAGTCACCAATAGCTAGGGTTCTCTCCCCAAGTCATGGCTATGCAGAAAAGCCATGGGTTTATTTATTTAAAATATTGTATGTTTTGTCAAAGCATGGAGAGCAGGAGTAAACTCATTTTGCTATTTGTGCCTTTAGTTTCTGTGTACATTGTAAAGGAGGACCCAGAAAGAAGTGAGGGAAGACGCTGGGAGAGAAGTCAAAAGTGGAACGAGAAACAAGGAGGGGATGAGGGATGTGTGGTGAGTACTGAATGACAGCAGAAGGGGCAGGATGAAAGACTGGAGACCGGCGGGACGCTTAATGCTAGAAATGAAGCTGTATTGGCTGTCATGGGAAGGAGGCAAATACAGACAAGGATTTAGGTTCAGTGAAAGAGCTTCCACAGCACAGGACTTCAACAGCTGGATGAGCTGCCCCGAGAAGCAGTGCTTCCTACTGTGGCGGTTTTCTAATGGAAGCTGGATGTTTTGGAAGGAATTCCTTAATGGCAATAAGCTAGACTAGGTAGTGGCAAATAAACTCCGAATTCCACCATCCTAAATGCATCAGATCTGTAATTTCTAGTTTCTTCCTCCTCAGTCAATCCACAAGTCCCTCGCCTTGATTCTAGCCTTTTATTAACAGCTATTCCAGAAAAGGGTTTTAATATAAAGCAGATGTCAGTGAGCCTGACTTCAGAACACAAATCTGTTTTTAATAATTATAATTAATTTAGACACTATTACAGGCCTCGTACTACCCGCTGCTCCTGCTTTCTTTCACTATAACACCATCCAGACATTTGGCAATTCCAGTTTCTAGAAGGCAGTTAGGAGATGACTCCAAATGAAAGCAAATAACGTTCACCAGTGACTGCAGTCTGTCAGCTTCTTCAGGGCTGGGCAGAAATGGAAGGACAGGGTATCTGAAAGAAGGAAACTTCTTGATTGAGCTCCATTTTTTTATTACCCAGATCATCAAAACAATTGCTGAAGACTCTTCATGGGAAAATGCCCCATTGATTAAGAATGGCTGGGGCCAGAGCTGTGGCATAGTGGGCTAAGCCTCTGCCTGTAGTGCCAGCATCCCATATGGGTGCCAGTTCTAGTCCTGACTCTCCTCTTCTGATCTAGCTCTCTGCTATGGCTTGGGAAAGCAATGGAAGATGGCCCAAATACTTGGGCCCCTGCACCTGTGTGGGAGGCCCAGAAGTTGTTCCTGGCTCCTGGCTTTGGATCGGCTCAGCTCTGGCCTCTGTAGTCATTTGGGGAGTAAATCAGTGAATGGAAGACCTTTCTCTCTGGCTGTAACTCTACCTCTCAAATAAATGAATTGGCGCCCATATGGGATGCCACTGCTTCAGACCAGGGTGTTAACCTGCTGCGCCACAGTGCCAACCTGAGAATTACAGAATTTTAAGAAGATTTATTTGCAGCTGGTGCAGTGTTGTAGTGAGTAAAGCTGCCTGAAGTGCCAGCATCCCATATGGGCACCAGTTCTAGTCCCAGCTGCTCACTTCCAACCCAGCTCCCTGTTAATGCACCTAGGAAAGCAGCAGAGGACGGCCCAAGTATTTGGGTCCCTGCACCCGGAAGAAGCTCTAGGCTCCTGGTTTCAGATTGGCCCAGCTGGCCATCTGGAGAGTGAACCAGCGGATGGAGACCTTTCTCTCTCTGCCTCTGTTAACTCTGCCTTTCAAATAATCAATCTCAAAAAAACTAAAATAATGTCAAGAAGATTGTAAACAACAAAATTATGTCTTTTAAAAAAAAGATGTATTTATTTGAAAAGGACAGTGATT